ATTACTGTTCTGATCCGTCGTGCACCTTAAATCGAATCTTTTTCTAGCAAATTGCTCAGAAGTTCTTGCGTTCCAACATGGCATAAAGTGCAAACCAGCCAGAAGTAGTGACGTATATGACGTTAATATTACGTCATTTATTGTAAATTTTTGGACTTGGACGAATATATGATGACATAAAGACGTCATATGTCGTACGTCCAAAAGGTAAACAATAGGGGTGTATTTTGGACGTCATAACTGACGATCCGTTTAGTAAGTCAGTTATGCGTCGTGTAGCACGTTTCCAGTGTCATGCGTAGAACGGGAAACCACATGATCACGTGTACGTGTGATCTTTGCGGGAAACTCTCTGTTACTAGGTTAAACTAATTTTTTAACCTTGTTTATTATGAAGAAATTGATCCACATCATCAGCCTATACTGTCCACTGTTGGACAAAAGCCTCCCACACATTTTGCCATTCTTTCCGGCCCTGTGCCATCAGCATCCAATTTCCAGCGAGTCTCCTTATGTGGTCACTCCATCGGGCTGGTGGGCGTCTTCTGCTTCTGTGTGCTTCCACTCTTAGGTTGCATCTCTTACTCCTGTGTTGATGGGTATGATGGTTCCATTTAGGATTCTATCATGGAGCGTTATCTTAGCATTGATCTCTCCATCTTACATTGTATGACTTGTATTTTCTGAATGATGTTCTTGGTCATTGTTAATATATCTCGGAAAACTGTTCTTTATGAACTCAATTTTCGAGTGGGGTAAAAAATATGGGATAAAATGGCAATTAAACCAATATGGCAACATACATATGCACATTTCATAATTTTATAAATACTAGAACAGTGTACAACAAATAATTATTGAGCAAGTTTTGTAAACATCGTGCCTTGCATCCAAAATCATTTTTCAAAAAGAACAAGTTCAAAGGTTATCTGTTCCGCTCATTCGATGCTTTAATGACAGCTTTGCTCTTTCGAAGGCTTAAATAACCTGAAACATTTTAAAGAGCTAAACGGAAGTAGACAATCGGTGTTATGAGCTCCCCACGGCGCCACTCTCTAATTACAGTCAATGATCGTTCTAAAAGGGGGCTGGTTTCCGATCTCTCTCGGTGCATTGTTACCATCTAAGGGGGGACCTGTACTGTAGCAAAATAAATGGTATCGTGTTTGATTAGGATATCAAATGTAAAGCCTTTCAAATGAAATGCATAACGTATAGTTGATATTAAAAATTACAGGCGATTTAAAATCAGCAATTTAAAAAAAAACAATCAGGTCGTGATTAAACTGTCACAAATTCAGTTGTTTGGAAAAAAGTTTTTTTCAAATAGTGAATAAAAAAACATATTTTCTTGTCTGTCCAACCTTGTGACCTGTGTCTTTCCAACCGACATCGGCCAGTCAAATGCCCCAATTGGTTCAGCGAGGACATGAGTTTTTGAGGTCAAAAATGGGACTTTTTGCGCACAATATTCCAGATGGAGCACATGAAATGAATGAAGACGATGTTTTTTCACTAATTTTCTGCAAAAACAAGCAAAACAAAGAAATTACAGGATGGCGTAATCATGACGGGTGGAAGAGTATGGGTAACTGTAGTGCAACTTTGACATGATTTGTTATGTTATCAATGGAGTTTCCTCAAAGGATCAAGGAGTTTCCAAAAATTTGTCGGATATAAAAATTTAGTTTTTTCAAAGGAAATGAACATACTTTATACTTACATACATACAAGTCCGAAAAACTTTTTCAGTTTTACTATTATATAAGAAAAATTAGCCGACATTTTCCAGCATAAATAAGCATTCTCCCTCATTGAAATCTTTTTTCGCTTCAGTAGAACTATCCGGAAGAGTAACTATTGGTTTCACGTTCGTTCTACTAATTTTCCTCCTTTGTGTAGATTGTCCACAATTACATTTGTGAGAAAAGAGGAGCAGCCTTTTGATTGGGTGTTCAGTTAGTTTCCTCATACGGTAGGTGTAAGTTGTGGAAATGCGATAAAACACCCATTTTTGCCGTTTCCTCAGGCGGAGGTCGATCGACAGCCCAAAGAAGTCTAGTTTGTTTACATCAGGTGATCGTGGAGGCCCGACCAAGGCTCCTCCTTTTCCAATCGATTGATTTTGAATCGCTTGATGTGGTGTTTGGGTGAAATCGGGCGGCGCTATGAACCACATGTTCAATAAGTCGTTTACCAGTTATTCCCAATCAAATTCATCTTTTTAATGTCTTGGCATAGTAAGGGGTCTAAATTACGCCCGAATTTTCTTATCGCGGTACCACTTGGAGGAGGCGGTGTAAATATATATACCGTACGTAAGATTTTTATAGATTCTTCAAACTAGAAATACAAAAAAATGCAGGAATATTATCATTGATGACAGAGTTTATAACTCAACCAAAGAAAGCTCTTTATTATGGCCTGAGATAGATCACTTCCAGACTGGTTAACCAACATTTGGATCGAAGATTTAATTAATCTAGATCGTAATATATAAAATAATAAATATGTAAATAAATATATCCTATTTACTCAACGAAAAAATTGCTGATTTTTCATTTAAGTAAGTCTTAATTATCGAAATAAAAATACTAATTATTCCGTAATGTTTGGGGAAACTGTTTGGTGTAAAAACTGTAAAATCTTAGGGATCTTTACATGGGGATAGGGGGTTGAACAATTGCCCGAATTTACCTTACGTAATTTAGGAACGGCCCCTAAACAGGCTATTTATGGCCATAAATCATGAAGCTCGTGTTATATATTACATGAAATGCTTGAAAAACGATCAATTTTAGGAGGTGGATCAGTAGCTAGGCCACCTCGATCTCCCGACCTAAACAATCGGGAGTTTTAACTTAAAACAATCAGGATTAAAAAAAACAGACTGCAGTTGGGCTTAAACATCAATTTTGAGTCAAAACCCAAGAAAATGTTCAACATATTTAGCCTTAAATGTCTGGATAAATCAAATTAACTCGTTTCTCAAATTTTTGTTTTTTCCGATTTGTGCTGCCGCGCCGGTTAAAAGCCGAAGCCTATTTAGAATTTCTCCCAAATAATGCGTGCCTATAAAAGAGCTCCGCCTCATTTCAGCCCAATATAATCTACATAAAACGATTGAATACAGATCAATTGGAAGAGGTGAAGCAAAAATGGTCCACCTTGATCACCTGATATAAAGGGAGCGACCTGTACCGACGCAGTACAATACTTTCTATTGCATAGTAACGACTCAAAAATCTGATTTCACTTTAATAAGAACTTAATAACATTTTATAATTGTGTAAATTTCAAAAACACGTTAATTCCACCCATAGATTAACTAAGTATTCCACCCAGAAGAACTTGAAGGTTACGATACAAAACCCAATTTGGATTTAGAGAGGTAATTTGGAATACAATGTGGTTTAAACAAGAGAAGATTATCTTAAAAATTATTCAATTATTTAACTAATTGGACATTTTCAAATGGCAACTCCTATTTCGCTAATGGAAGATAAACAGAAGCAGATTTTAGTATCTGATTTCAATTAGTACAACATTTCGGAGATACGGGATAGATTTCTGTATCTGCTGCAGCTTTCACGTAGAGCAGTGCTCTGTATTTTGATATCCGGTGATATATTTATTTCCTTGAAAATATTTTACAATCGCACTGTATATAAAGAACTGCTTTTGAAAATAATCTCAATGTTGTAAAAACATGCAACAAAAATCCTAAACGGTTAATATTAAATAGCCAATTGTTTGATATGTCAGTACATTTGCAGTACTGATTTTAGATCGAATTAAAACTGTGAAATTTTAATCGCAAAATTACCATTTTAAGGAATTGAATACTAAACGAGCTGTAACGTTCCAGGGTCCTTATTCATCATTTCGCCACAAATTCTGAAAATGCCGAGCATTCCACCATGAAAAGATCCTTTTACTCCGACGCAAATAAATTTTAAAATGATGCCAAAACAGGCCATTTTTCAATCTAAGGACATTACTTACTAACCAAATTCTTAACATCGAACTGAGATATTGCTTTGTTAAAGGTTGCATTTATTCAGTATTGCGTGCATGCATTACATATAAAGCTAACACGATTAACAAACCTGAAGCCTTCCAGATGTGGGTTTTCAGAAGATTGCTAAAGATACCTTGGAACACTCAAACTATTAAGGATTGCGACGATGAAAAAACTGAGAGGGCTCATGGCAATAGTGAAGCGAAATAAGGTTGATTTCTTGGCCACATATTTCGCTATACCAAATATGAATTCCTGCGGGTGATAATGGAAGATTGAGGGAAAGCACGGTATGGGCACAAAGAAACGCTCGTGGCTTAAGAACATCAAAGACTTCTGGCCCAATCTTAGCGCTCACACACTACTTAAATCCGCAGAAACACTCAGTAATATTTATACGGTTCTAAGAAGGAAAGTATTTAAGATCTGGCCATAACGAAGTTCTGTACTTCAAGTTGCTGTTCTTATCTGCGAATACGTTGAAAAGATGTAGTAGATTGTCCATATCCAACTGTATAAAAACTTGAAGCATGAATTTGCAAAACACTAGTTTGAAGTCATGACATGAGACCCTCCCATTTGCAAGAAATTATGCCGATTTTTTAAAGTAATTTTTTTGATATTTATGTCAAAAAGATAGCAAACATATTCCTGAAGCGCCGGCCGAGGTATGAGAACATATTATAAGCCATTAAAAAGTTAGCAGAGAGGACTATTAACATTCGCATTGTAATATGTAAGTGTGATTCTATATAAAAGTTATTTATAGTTGGTCATTGCAGTTTATAAAAACATGCGCTAAAACTGATCTCAGTTGATTTGAAGATAGAGTTGATTTAAATGTGTATTCAAATAAAATCTGACTCATACAATTAATACAGCCAATTTACAATACTGGGGCGTTTAAATGTGAAACCCATTTTGCTCCTATTATCCCCTTCCACAGTTGAACTTTCCATAGAGCCAGTTGTATATGATATTCTCTAAGCGGCATCTGTTGTACACAGCAATTGAGCAGTAGCGGTTTTATCTAGAGTTGTATAAGAGCGCGCGTTAATATAGAAATCAGTGGTACATCACACATATCAGGTGTTTCCCCGGATTTAGTATCAGACCGGCCTTAAAGCTAACTTAACTCAAGTGATCGAGTTGCTTAATCCCGTGTTGTGAGTGTTGAGCGCTTAAGGGAACAAGTCCTCCTCCCTCATTTTGTAAGTATAGCAAAATTGGGGAAGCATTAAAGTTTCCATTCATTCAACAAAATATAACTAAAAGGTATCTTCTCATTCTTGAAAGGTAACAATTCGTTAATTTTGTTCAATTTTTTTGTCAATTTGTTGTATTTTATATTATTTATAAATTGAATTTTCACTTTCAGGCTATTTGATTCATAGCACAACATATGTATTTTATAGCTTTTCAGATTTTTTGTTATAATTACACAACAGAAGAGTCACTCACTGGAAAATCCCATAATGACATTTTCAGGAGTTTTCAGGAGGTAACACATACCATAAACGATAAACACGCAATAGCAATATTTTGAAAACTGATCTTCTATTGCGATTAGAAAAATTGGATTATCTTTCAAAGGCATAACTTCCTTGATTTAAATAGAATTAGAAAGGTGAATCTAAAATTGAAAATGAATTTTAAAAGTCATTAAATATATAGAAAAACGTACTCTAAAAGGCAAAAAATAAACAGTTAATAACAGATTGGTTTATGACAGTAAACGCATATAAACCAATAAACTACATTTAAGTAGTTGAGAAGGAACGATAATTATGATTATAAAATAGGTGAAAAGCAAACAATAAACGTTCTGTAATTCGTTGGAAATTCGACGTGGGTTGCAATATATCCACATTATCTAGGGCATTAATATTGTATAACTGGCTATATCCGTTAAAAATTTATTTGCTTTTACTATTTGGAAATCTCCCTTTTATAATGGCTCAGAGGCTGGCCATTTGTTAATAATAGTTACTGATATGACGTTCACTCCTGTTGTTTGCCGGGAAGCATTTATCCGGCTATAAACATACGTAGTGAGCTTTACATCCCGATCTCATTTTAAATAATTTGGGGCTTCGGAGGCAAGTAAAACTGATAATTGTAGATAGATATATAGATAAAGACTGATGCGATACAAACTACCGTTCAGGTCAAATATATTCTATGTATTTCGTAGTTCGAATAGTAAATTGTTAGGCCGAACTACGTTATTCCAATATTCACCCAAAATATGTAAACTTATCTCCCTAAAAAAATTGATGTTTTCCTGACAACTCAATCAATTTTGAAAATTTAAATTTCATGTTACACACCGATTGGCCTTGTTTTACTTAACACCTAAGCTAACATTTTTTTTTTACTTTACACGAAATGGATTTAGAGCAAAACATTAGCAAATTACTTATCATTTAAAGTCACGCTTCTATGTCACACATCACATCAAAGAAATCCCTTTTTAAAAAAAGCCTTATAAGAGATCGCCAGAGAACAGTAATACTTTTAGACTACATTTTCTGCATTGTGTCAACTGCACTAAACAAAATTTCGCTGATCTGACTATGGTTCGTGGATAACAGAACAGTAATTCTTATAGACAAAAAAGTGATAAACACAATCATTAACACAACTAAATATATTGTCCGTTGACAAATGGTTATTGGATAGATGGCTCGACGGTGTAGCATCGGTTCTGTGATGGTTCAAAACACTTTTTCGGTTTTATGAGACAGTTCCAAAACCAACCGGTTACATCGGCAACCTTGAACTGCGGTTACAGGTTACACGTTTGGAACACTGTTGTTTTAGCGGTTACGATAAATATCGAACATACCTATTTGAAATTATTTCGGGTTTATATTTTTTTTATATAGGTTTAGATAACTAATATTTTCAGTTGCAAATTTTCCCAACTTGGTTCTGAATCTGGGACTGGGATTCTACCTCGGGGCGCCACTGATTATATGTTGAAATCAGAAATAAATACATACATTACTCCATATTTAGCGATTCAACGTTCGTTTTCATAATTTCCTAAAATCTCCGATTTATTCCATCATTTAAAAAAAAATTGCGTTTCATTATTTTCTTAAAGACAACAGACCCCAAAACATGTATTACTTAACATCTTTATAAATCTCACTATGTAAATGTTTTTTTTTATTTCCATCTCCTTTTTTTCAGTTCTACCAAAGCAAAGTTTTCTTATAAAATTGCGAACTTTTCCGAGTAGTTCTCCGATTTATTTCCATACTTTACTTTTTAATTAGATTTTCCATTCACTCGTCTTCAGTGCTAGTGAAACCTTAGCTATGTAGTTTGTCACTGCTGTTGTCAGAAGTGTCCTCAAAGCTATTGCCTTCATATTTTCAACTTTCTGCTCTTCCTGGTTAAAAAAATGATCTTCCAACTCATTTATTTAATGAATTTCCATTAATAAACTTGATTTTCTATTCAACCTTTCAATAATGCCACTTTTCTATAATACCAATTCTGAAACACCAAGTATTACGTTCTGGAGCTTAGGTGGATGATGCTGTCTAGGTTTAGTGTACACCTTCAATTGGTTCTTCACATTCTGTTTCGATGTTGGCTACTGGTCGATGGTTTGCTAAGGCATAGCAATTTAGAGGATAAATACCTGCCACATATTTTGCTTTTGTAATATTTTGTTGGGTGAGTGCTTTTGGGGAGGCTTTTGGGGTCAGATCAGCGACGTGACCAGTTCAATTGTTAGGCAAAGTTTCGATTCATCTAATGATGGAAATCCGCGGTTTTATGACGCCGCAAAGCCGAATAAAGGCTAATTCACACTCTCAGACACACAACGGACCGGCAAAGGCACGACAACGACACGATTAACATTCTTATTAGATAAGTAAATGGTGGTATTCAGGTTAACTAGTAACGGCACGGTAACGACACATATATGTAACGATGAAGCCGACCAACATTTTTGGTAAAAATGATAGAAGAAAAATGTGTAGTTTTCGTGTCTGGAGAACGATTTTGAAGTTTATAGCTCAGATCAGCTGAGATCTTCTAAGGATATATTACATGTTTTGGAATTTGTTACAAACTTCTTTTTGGGTATTTCGCCTCAAAAATTTTTGTCTTTAAAAAAGACAGAATTTCCTCACGTCTTTTATTACAGATTGATAAATAGT